TGCCAAAAGGATGTTGCAACATCAATCGAGAAACCCAGCCCGAGAAGCTGTAAGGTGGAGCGAGAATCCCGTGGATGCTATACACATGCCTGGATCCAGCAGGACCTGAAGTCCACCTTTGGTCTTAACCACTTCTGAGAGCCAGTAAATGCCGTTTGGGCTCAAGTTAGTTTGCATTCATTTTGTGTGGACGACGATGGAAGGAGTACTAATAGGAAAAACCCACGGGGCTCAAATGAGGTAACATCGTGAATGCTGAGCCCAGTACCTCTGTGCCTCGTCTTTGCAATACAGACTGGACTTTCTTTGTGCAGTGTCATCAGCGCCCATGAGAAGGAAGAGGAGAGCGTGGCAGGCCCCTAAGCATCTGTCTCAAGGCTGCTGCTCTTCATCCCTCAAGTCCTTCCCACCTGGATGACGGGGATGGAGGGACAAAGTGCAGGACTCACACCTGCTCACGAGCCTCAGGACACATTTTAATACTTAATTCCTCTGTAGGCGGGCACACACTTTTGTAGAGGACACACTTTTGTTTACTCTGGTGTCTGGGCTAGCAGGGATGGCCTGAAACACCTACACATATGCCAAGGTATGTATATTATTGTTAAATGTCCTTGAGTTGGCTCCCGACTCATGACCACCCCATACCCAATGGCAAGAAACACGGCCCGGTCCTGTGCCATGCCCATGATTGGTTGCAGATTGGATGATTGTGATCCATAGGGTTTTCACTGGCTGATTTTCAGAAGTAGATCACCAGGCCTTTCTTCCTAGTCTGCATTAGCCTGGAAGCTCCACTGAAACCTGTTGAACATCATAACAACACACAAACCTCCACTGACAAATGGGTGGTGGATGCACATGAGGTGCATTGGCTGGGAATTGAACCCAGGTCTCCCACATGGAAGGCGAGAATTCTACCAGTGAACCACTACTACTCCCAGGGTTCTTTTTTTTTTTTTTTAAAACGTATTTCTTGTTATTTATGGGTTTTTTTTTTTTGGGCCACTTTTTGTATTTTGTTTTATTTTATTTTTTGTTTATTGTTGTAGTTTAAATGAAGTTTACATTTCAAGTTAATCTCTTATATAAAAATTTATATATACATTGTTATGTGACCCTAATTGCTTTCCCCATCCTGCGACAGCACACTCCTCCTTTCCACCCCTGATTCCCCATGTCCATCCAACCAGCTCCTGACCCTCTCTGCCTTCCCATCTCACCTCCAGACAGAAGCTGCCCATTTAGTCTCTTGTATCTACTTGAGCTAAGAGGCACACTCCTCACGAATATCACTTTATGGCCCACAGTCCAGTCCAATCCCTGTCTGAAGAGTTGGCCTTGGAAATTGTTTTAATTCTGGACTGATAGAGAATCCAGGGGCCATGCTTTCTGGGGTACCTCCAGTCTCAGACCTTTAAGTCTGGTCTTCTTACTGGAATTTGAGTTCTGCACCCCACCTTTCTCCTGCTCCATCCGGGATTGTCTGTTGTGTTCCCCG